TATTAAACAATTTCATATTTCAAAATTAGTATTTCTGTTATTTATTATATTTATGCAGGTATGGCGGAAAACAATGCTTCAAAAAATCGCAAACTTCATTTAAATCGTGATACTTTAATGGCAGCTGCTGCAATATACAAAGAGTTATATGGAAAAATAAGAGAAGATGGAACTCCTTATATACCTAGTACATTTCAAATTATTTATTTATTAGGATGGAAACCACATCCATCACAACCTAAACCTCTTCAACGAGGTACCGGTCAGGTATCTCTTAAAGACCTACACAAACTTGATGAAATAATGAGGGATAGTGCAAAGATAAAAATAGATGAAGATAAATAAATTTGTAAATAAAATATATATTAATATATATAATATAATATCTATTTAAATTAATAATGTATAAAAAACTGTTTAAATATTTAAAAATACAGGTAATAGTGTAATCATAAATAAATATGCAAATAATTCATTTAAAATAAAAAATGACGTGTAAGGCATATTTGATAAATATATTATTTTCGTGATTTTCATTTAAAATATATTACAAGTATTTATTTTATCTTCAATTATTTATTCTTGTTTGCCAACTTTTAATTATGGTCTCTCTGGTTTTTCATAATCTACTAGTCCTTTTTTTATAAGTTCAGGAATTTCTATAGCGAGCCATGGTCCTAGCTACAATTTAAAAAAGTAAATATAACTTATAGAATAAGTATAAAATATTATAACATTAAATTATAAATTAATATTTGTGATATACGTACACCAAGAGCCATAGCATGAGCAATACCAAATTTTGGTACATTACGTGCCCATAATGGTTTAAAATGATCTGTCAAACAAATTTTTCCACCTCTGTACATTTTCGCTGTTTTACCATCTAACTCAGGCAATGCAATTTCAGGTGCCGTTGTAGGGTATGTTACAGGTATCTAATAATGTCAAAATTAAATATTTTCTATTAATTAAACGCTATTATTATGCTTTAATTTGTTAACCTCAAATATAAAAAAACATTGAATATACACCACAAATGAAATACTAACATCAAATTCAACTGCAAATTCATACTTTAAATAATTTTGTATGTACCAACATTTTCCAAACCATCTTGTACCTTCTTTATTTGATTCTAAACGAAACCAATCGTTGTTTGATTCCTTGTTATTTTTGACATACTGTAAAGAAAGAAAAAAAATATTACTTTAATAACATATTAAATTTTAACTTAAGAATCTTTCAAAGTATTATTAAAGATTACTCAACATATGGAAACAATCATTTTTTCAAAGTAAAATATGACATTACTGTAATTAGCACTTGATATTCTTCTTTTAATCTTTGCAACCATAAATTTTTGTCTCTAGGACCAGCTTTAGTTTGCAGCAAAGGAATACCACTTATTGCTTTATTTTTTAGATCATCCTCCATTGTAATTAATAATAAAATAAATCAGTATTGCACTCAAATTGTTGACAGCATCACACAACGTTGATTAACTTGAACGCCATCTGTAAAAAGCTCGAATTAATTTTCGTACACGAAAGCAAATACTTCCATTCTACCAATTTTGCAGCATTAAAAACAAATATTTTTCTTAGAGATTATGTAGGTTAATAGGACGAACATTTCTTGAAATTTATATAGGTCAATAATATTCAAAGAAATTTAGACTAGTATATTTGTTCTCATTGTATATTCTCGAATGATAATATGTATAATTTTAATATTATTCAAACAATATTAAATAATTTGAAATATTCATTATTCCGCGCTACATATGTAGTTATCCTACGTTTAACTAAGCGAGTCAAGAAGTAATTAATTAATAAATTTTATCTTGGATACAATCATTCTATTTATGTGGTATATATATCTTTTATAATAATTCAAAAAAGTAATATTTCTCTCTCTTTAAACTATTATTTACAAATATTTAAATAATACGAATCAAGCTGCCATATATGATCAGGTATTGAATGATGTATAATAGCGTATGTGCAATACTATAATATAATTCGTAATAAATTATTTAAAAAATACTGCATTTGTTTAAAATATCTCATGCAGTTAATAATCTAGTTTTAATATAAAATAATCGTATGGTTTTATTTCGGTATGCTTTTAATTTAAACTTCAAGTCGAAATATCAACAATGTGATAATAATAACGAATGCTCGAAGGACTTTGACTTTAATCAAATCAGTTTTTGTTTGTATTCCGAGGAGTAAACATCGTAGCTTTCTAGTTCACACAAGCGTAGGATATTTTTGAAATAATTATTATTTAAGAAAATCTTACATTTATTTATACAATATATAATATATACGTAAAACTATTATGTAATTAATTAATATTTAAACATTACATGCATTAATTTGTTCTTTAGTAATACAGAAGTAATATTGCTTACAATTAATAATATATAATCTAAACACTTGCATTCTTTCGCTTTTCTCTAATATTTTTTATTAATTATTTTCTTTTTATGATCATATATTCTTTATTAAATTTCAAAACTTAGTTAAATAGTACTTTAAGTTAATAGTAAAAAGTATTCAGCTTCAAAAATGTGCGCTTTTTATTTACATAGCAATATTCTTTACATATTAAAATAATAATAATACATTACTTTTTAATTAGTAAAGAATGAAAACTGCAATATACTTATTATTATTTTTTTGTTTTTTAAGAACTTTTACAAATAAGCTACAAGGAATATCATTGTATGTAAGATTCATTTATCCATATTATAATACTGTTATCTTTGAAACGTTTTCTTTCTTGTTTTAATTCGTATACTAACAAAATGAAAGTAAATAGATATACGTCATCTTTATAGTATCTTATTATTTTATTGCAAAAAAACAAGATATGTTGTAATTTAAATTACTGTTTTCGTATACAATAACGAATATCATTTAACAATTTTGACTTTATTAGGAAATACTTTCTCAGTTGGTTTCACCTCTCCAAATCTAGCTTTTCTCTTCTCTATTCGCGCTTCCAATTCGGCCTAATATAGAAATATATTACAATATTATTTGATATTTGTATTAGAAATATTTTTAAATCATTACCTTATCCATGAGACTAGAAACTGACATTCCAAATCTTTCTGCACGCTTTTTCAAAACCTCATAAGTCGTATGCTGCATACACAAATATACATACAAAAAATAATAATAAATAATTAACGAAATTATAAATTAATAATAAAACATTTGATTTTAAAAAGATAACTTACGACGGGAGTCTTTACGGATGCAGCTGATTTGTTATTTTGATTATTAACACTAAATCTTGCTGATCGAGCTTCCTTCTTTGCAGCTTCTGATAATGGTAATCCAAATTTCTTTGCTCTCATTTCTAATCTCTATTAAATATTAAAATATTATTAATTCAAATGTGCTAACATAATTAGTAGTTAGATATATTTTATAAATAATTACCTCCTTGGTACCAAGCTCCGATAATTTAATAATTTTTTTCTCAGGAGATGTATTCTCAGAAGATTTAGTGTCAGTTTCATGTTTCTCTACTTCATCCAACTTAACATCTTCGATTACAGGCTTACGATTTAAAACTATTTTTTTTGTATTACCCACGTTACTTTCTACAGATAATTTTCTCTTCTCGCTGATCTCTTGCGAATCTGGTTTACTTGATAATTCCTCTATTTCTTCATCCTAGAAAATTATATAATGCAATGAAATTTTCATGTATCATTTAAAAAATATTTTGATAACATAAAATTGCGATCTATTAGAATATTATATTATATAGAATAGTATTATTAATTACTTACACCAAGAACCGCATCTTCATCTAATATTTCCTCCGCTGTTTCATCCAAAGATAATGCATTATCTATAAAATAAATATACATATAAATATACTTATACTTATTATGCTTAAAAATTGTATGCGTTGTTGCATTACATACCACCATGTATCGCTAGCTGAAGTCTTTCAACTAGTTGATTTTTGTTTCCTGTTGTAGGAAGACCTCTTTGTTTTAATTCTACCTTCAAATTAGCAATCTGATAAAATAAACACGTTTATTGATTAATATTACAACTTTGTAATCAATACATTTTATTAATACAGACAATTTTACTTCTGAATAGTAACAGTTAATTCCATTGTAATGTTATATTTCTTATTCGTGATGATATAAAAAAGTAAATAAATTTTAATATGAAAATGGATGCTCTTTCTAACGGAGAACAAATTAAAATGCAATAAAGTATTTAATTAGATTTAATTAATGCACCTTCATTTTCGAAAGTTCGGTTAATCCTTTCTCGTAAGATGAATCGGCCATGGTGTGTATGCTCTTTCTTTTTATAGAAATATATCAACTAAAGTTACAAATGAATTATCATCTCACATTAAACGCACTCTCACAAAAACTTAAAAATTAATGGAATAATCTTTAAATGTTATCACTGTTAATAATATTTTTGTCTATGTAACACTATAATCGATCGGTCGAAAACTTAACCAAAAATATGAACAAAGTATTACCAAAAGTTGATACGTAAAACAAGAAAATATTAAAGTTGGCAACGTATATTTATATATATCATAAATATATATAAAAATATGTAATATGAAACTATTTACGCTATCTAATATTTATTTTATTACGATTTATTCGACGGAATTATTAAAATTCTCATTAATAATATTTTTTGGTTAAGATATTAGCCGATTAAGAGATTATATACACTATCTAAAGGACCAATCAAATTGGAGTTTATTAGTAAACACTTTATGAATGGTCGTTTAAAGAATATTTGTATTACCGTGATTTGTGAATTTGAAAACATGAAAAATACCTTCTCATTAATTTTTAATGAATAATTATGATTAAATTTATAAAATATTGATGATATTTGAATATTTGCATATCCCGTCTTTGTTTTTTTTAGTTGTTAAATAGACGTAAATCATTTTTAAGTGAGGACCAATCAGAAGGCGCCAGGTCTATTTCCGGATTTTTGACAGTATCCAACGTGTATGAAAGTAGCATGAAGTTTTGTTCGCTGTGTGCTCGATGAATCTGTTAAAATAGTGTTTCTTTGAATAAAAAGTTTCAATCAAATAAATTATTAGGTTCCATAGCTGTTATTTATTTAATAAACATCAATCGAATTGATTTATATCGTACGTATCTTGTATATCATTGCTGTTTCTTCTTAACCTATTAAAGCGGCATTTAATGTCGCAAATGTCATTAAAAATAGAGAAGTCTTTGTTAACATCAAACTGAAACGATTTATTAATTTTTTTTCAGAATAAATTATTTATAAAAATGGATACTAAAATGTGGTTCGCTATCACTGTAGTTTTTAGTATGGTATCATTTATTACAGCATTAAAAGAAGGAGAATGCGAAGGTGATTTATTTATGTATATATTAGTGACAATATTGTATATATTTTATTTACAATTAATGTTATCTCTTTACTAATTTTTTTTTTAATTTTGGTTTTGCAGTATGCGTAGTTACTGTAAATAAATTTGCCGAAACTTTAACAAGTGATGTTAAAAGCGATTATAAAAAAATAGAATCAGAGTTCAAAGAATTTTGTAAAACTACAAAGTCTAAAGAAAATAGATTTGTAAGTATGATTACTATTTAAAAAAAGTAATTTTTGTATAAGAGCATGGCCATAAAAATGAAAATAATCTTGCTCGTATGTTAGTGCTATTATTTAGGTGGTTTAGAAGAATCAGCGACAGGGATTTTGGGAGAACTTAGTAAACCTTTGTCATGGTCTATGCCAGCAGATAAAATATGTGAGAAACTAAAGAAGAAGGATGCACAAATATGTGATCTACGATTTGGTATTTATATATTATTTTAATAAAATGTTACATCGTGTATTAGAGATAATATTAACAATAGTAATCGTGTAACATTGTGTGCTTTGATTACAGAAAAACAAATAGATCTTAGAACAGTTGATTTGAAAAAGTTAAAAGTAAGAGACTTGAAAAAAATATTAAATGATTGGGATGAATCGTGCGAAGGATGTATAGAAAAGACAGATTTTATTAAACGGATTGAAGAACTTAAGCCTAAATATTCGAGCAGTTCTAAAACGGAGCTTTGAAGAGAACTCTGAGATATAAATAAATAATTAAGATATCATAACTGAAATTGTGCATTATTCCATTGTTTGGCAGGAAAATTGATAGCAGTATTTAAAATACGTGTACATTTAATATTTATATATGTACTTTTGTTCGATATAATTTTCTTTTCTTTTTTAAAAAATGTTTCATTTGCAAAAGAATATTAGAAATTATTTAATCAGATTACTTTTCTTGAATATTGTATTAGTTTAAAAAAAATCTTTATCAGCTTTTAAACAACTCAGCAGTTACATCGTTAGGATATTTAAAGACAAATTTAAAAAGCAATAATATGCTAACTATTTAATTATTTTCGTTTCTTCTCTTTTTTTATTCTGACGAGGCTAAATGAATTTAAATTAAGGATTATCAGATGGTGCTTCATTTATACAATATTTATAGATATAATTTTTTTGGAATGTAAGTTTTTCAAATCAAGATATTTTCTGATATTTATATTTTCACTGCCCTTCCTTCTAATAGTCTGATGCAATATATATCATCTTCATGTAATGCACACATTCCTATATTTAGAATTAAATGATATGAAACATAGGATGTGCCAACAAAGGAAATTTAATGAACTCGAATTTCATAAAAAGAAATGGAAAGCTATGATCTAATCATTTATCTAAATTTTTCAAAAAGCATGCTTGTGAAGGGCATTGACGAGACAACAAAAAAGAGACAAAATTGCACAATATTTCTATGTCTATAGAAAACATTTCGTGATTTTAATAATATATATATATATCTTTCTAATTGTTCATTGCATTGTACAACCATAACACAATTATAGTAAATACTTATATTTGATAGACAACGAAATATTATTTTTGACAAATTTTTATAAACATTTAATTTTTAATATTAGATAAAAAAAAACAAAAAGATATACATTGTTGTAAAGCAATGTATATAGCAAAAGTTTTCTTACTTTCAATATATTTTTATATGAATTTATGCTCATTTATCATTCATGTTAATTAGCTCACAAATAAATATATATATACACGCGTAAGAGTGTATGTAAATATATGTATATATGTTTACTTTGATAATTATAATTACGATATTATAATTATTATGAAAGATTCATTGGTAAAAATGAATATTAAAAAAAAAATATACGACCGTTTACGTGTTTCTCCTTGCGTATTTTTATATATGTTTTATTTAATTATCATTTCTATATGCCGCAATATATTATCCATAATTATTTATTAATGCATTGTGGTGAATTGCTCCATTTTCCATCTGAGTTACAAGTAATCGAACCTGTTTTTTTACCATTGGGACAAATATAAACAACTTGTTCTCTAAATAAGTAGGATGGACCCTTAATAACTACTCCTGGTGGTACTACTGGTTTGCCGCATGATATTTCTGGAAATATTATAAAAGAAGAAATCACACACATACTCTTGGTAAATACTAAAGTTAAAATATGTAATTATTTAATTAATATGTAACTTACTAGAGCACTTGCCCCGTATTTTGGACCATTTTCCATTAGGAAGACATTTTATAGTCAATTGGCCAAATATTCGATATCCCGGTATACACTCATAATGAATTATATCACCAATATTATAATCAATTTCATTTTGTTTTAATACTGCATTAAATGGTAGTTGTGGATTTCTACAAGTGACATCTGAAAAGAATAATATAAATTTCTTTGTACAATTAATTAATCATAATTTTTTACTTACGTTTACATTTAGGCATCGTGGACCACGTGCCATTCGAAAGACATGTTAATGTTTCAGATCCTTCAAGAATATAGTTTTGTTGACAACCAAATGTAAAAATATTAGTCACATTTTTATAATCATTCATATTATTAATATCAACGAGTGTAGCACACAATGCTTTTTCACACGCTTCATTTGAGTCATGTATTTGGATAAATTTATTATCGTGTTGTAAAAAATTCACAAGTTTCCATCGACTAGCTTCATCGCAAATCCACGTAATATTTAATTTTTCATTAATAGTAAAAGTATTCGAATCAGTTATACTATTTTGACACGTCATAATAATTCTTTTACCATAAATATTTCCTTCGATATAAAAGTTAATGTTACCATAAAAATTGCTCACATTTTTATAAGTTTTTACTTTTTGTTCAGTTTTATATTGCACGTTATACAGTCCATCGATATTAAACAATCGGAAAATCAAATGATTAGAAATTGGGCAATTGCGTGGTTCACAATTTTGATTATCTGGAATCCAAGTTCCTTCTTTACTGCATATTCTACTATTTTCACCAATTAATTTATATCCTGAATTGCAAATAGCAAAAATTTCTGTGCTAGGAATAAAATTCTCTTTTAATTCATGATTATGAAAATGTTGCATCGAATATAATTCTGTTGGAATTGCTGGAATTTCCAAAGTCAAATTGCCATCTATTTTTAAAAATATCTTTCCTTTTTCTATCGGTTTTGGCCAAGGACAATTTTTGAAAACACAATTTGGAAAATAACTGGACCACAAACCATCATTAGAACATTGAAGAATAAACATATTAGAAGAATCATTCATATTTTCGAACTTATAACCAGAATCACAAAAATATCCTATAGTATCACCGTAAGAATAGTTTCTGGTAAAAAGATCATCTGTTAAATTTTCTTTTAACTGTGATAAAGTTAAAGATTCTTCTTTTTCTTTAGTAATTATTCTCATGTAACCATGCTTTATTCTATATTACAAAAAAGAAGATACATTTAGTTAATAAAAAAAATAAATATGTTATATAAAATTTATATAAAAATTTACTTTGCTGGTGGTGGACATCTGTAGGGAATACAAACTGCATCATCATGATTCCATACACCGGTTTCTAAACACGTTAAATATTTTTCTCCAACCAAACGAAACCCGGGATCACATTTAAATTCAATCTGTTGTCCTGCCTATATAAAATATCAATGAAATAAAAATTGACTCTAATATTAAACATTGCTTTTCGAGAAATATATGTGCCCATAATTATGAAAGTGGTCTAAGTCATATATCTCTTCTTTTGAGATATTTAAAGGATTACATTTGAACATTAAATGAATTCTATATAATATTGAAATAACAAACACTATCTAATGGTTCATTTTTGACAATATCGTGAAAATTACATTGAATTAATTTAGTTTAAATTAATGTGATGTGAAATAACTAATAAACTCATTTTTTTTTAATTTTGACTTAGACTATTTTCATAATTATGGGCACATATTATACCTGTAGAATTGTGATATCATCTCTCTCATTTTCTTCTATTATGTATTCTATGTCTCCATGCTCTGGTGCCAGTAAACTTTTACATGTTACTCCTATCACAATAATGTTATGTTCAAAATTTTTTAAACTTATTAATTCTTTAAAATAATGTAAATTTTACCAATACAAATAGGTGGTAATCCACTCCATTTTCCATTAGATTTGCATACTCGACGTATGCTTCCACGAAGCTCATAACCACTAATACAAGAATAATAAATTTCATCTCCAAAAAAGTAAGACCAGCCCCTTATATAACCACGTGGAAAATATCCAGGAAATCCACATTTTACTTCTAAAAGTAAATTATAAAAAACATAAAAAGAATTCGAATTATAATACGATCTCAGTTGAAAATAATTTTGATAAATCTTACTCGAACATTTAGGTGTATCAGAGCCTTCCCATTCACTATTCTTGAGACATTTTCTTCTTAATACTTTTTGTTCTCTACCATCAAACTTAAGCACGTATCCGGGATCACAATAATAAGTTGCTTCTAATAAATCTTCTGTGGTATTTACGTTGCCTTTAAATGGTGCAACAGGTATAGAACAACCCCGACAAAATTGGCTGTTTATGATCTAAAAAAGAAATCAATGATAAATAAATAAAAATCAATATATATTTTTACTATCAAAATAAAAAATGATAGAATCACCATAATATTTCCATATACGTATTCCAATATGTGAGACCATGTAAAAAGAGTGCCATAGTATTTTTCGCATGTTCTATACAAGTGCATTATATAATCATTTGTAAAAACTGAATCCCAAATATCTAGTAATGTAATATTACCCACGAATGATTCTGATTCAGAAAAACCACCACCCATTCGATCTTGTTCTTGTCCAATAATGAAAGATCCATTAGCTAAAAGAAAAACATCAGTTTAATTTTTGAAATCAATAACAAATAATAAATTAAAAATATAATGCAGATCTACCTGGAATAGTTGAACCTTTTGCTAAATTTGTACCAGTATCTTTAAGGATTCCATCAAGAAAAATATTCCAAGAGCCATTAGTATTCTCCCATGTAATGCAAAGAAAATGCCAGTAACCATCATTAATTTTAACATCAGTTACAATTCCTCGTCCGTTGATATATAATACAAATCTATATAAAATTTGTGTTATTATTATATATAAATATTTGAGATGAGATTTTAAAATAACAAAAAACTATAGAGGACTTACCCATTATAATCTGTTATTGTAAATGCATTATCTTGTTCATGCGTTGCATATGAAAGTACAGTGCCATAATTAAAAGTATCCAAAGTTTGCAACCATACAGTAATAGTCAACTAAAAGAAATTTTAAAAATAATAAAATATGCAGGCTTCGCAATATTTATTTTTTTATTAATTTATTACCTTTGATATATTTTTTATTGGGCCTTTCATCATCACATAATCAGTTGTACTAGATCTCGTAAAATGCATGACATAATCAGATGTCAATTCTTTGTTAATAAAAAAGATCTCATTGAAAACTTAATTTCAACTCAGAATTATTAAATAAATTAATTCAATATATATTTTATGAGCTTACCAATTTCACAGTTATTTCCTATAAATGTTGGAGGACACATACAAGTATAATTAAAAGATATACTTTTACATTGTCCACCATTTCTGCAAGGTGAGCTACTGCAATAATCAATTTTGTGCGTGCAATCTCTCCCTGTATATCCAATTGGACATTCGCATCTTTTAAAAATAATAAAATACATACACATCGGAATACTTATATGTCCAAAAATCTCTTTTATAAAATATAATGAAGTAAACTCATTGAATAGTTTAAAATTCAAACCTGTAACTATTTCTTGTTGCATTTTTTTCTCTGATGTTTATACAAATTGAATTTTCATGACAAGGAAGCCAATCACATGGTAACAAATTGCAACGACGCCCTAAAAATCCTGATGTGCAAGAACAGTACCACGTTTGATTTACAATGTTACATATTGATCCTTTTTCACAAGGTATGGGATAGCAGTGATTTACAGAAGTTTCACAGAAAGAACCTAAAAGTATTGGTACAAAGTTTTATAAGGAGTCACTTAAAATATTAGGTTGTCCCATAAGTTCCTTTCTTTTTTTTGATGCGACTTCAATAAACGATATTGGTTGTTTAAAGTTGATTTACTGTGTTACATATGAACCATTCTGTTCTATTACCTTCTTCTATCTCTCTGAAAGCCTGCATGATTACAAACATAGCCGGCTCGAAATCATACATAGCGTGGCGCGGAAAGAAGTTATGGGACAACTTAATATATGAAAGTATTTAATAACATATATGCATAATTACCTTCAAAACCATCTTTACATACACATGTATAATCATTTTCTGTGCTAACACACTTTCCATCATTTTGACAAGGATTATGAGTACATTCATCGATATAAATCTACAAATTAAATTAAAAAATATTTTCTTTGCATTTTTGCCAATTGTTTATAATCAATAATTCATTTTCTTACGTCACAGTTTGTGCCAGTGTAAGAACTTTTGCAAGAACAATAATAAGGCATTTCTTTATTAGTTTCATTCGCAATACATATTCCTTCGTTTAAGCATGGTGAAGATTTACATGGATTTTGAAATATCTCACATTGTGTGCCTAAAAAAAAATTATTATTGAAAATTTATATTAAATGAAAATTCAGATGATGAAAATTTATTTTCTTACCGACATAATAATCACGACATTCGCAACTGAAATCTTCATCTTCTTTTTCTAAACACTGACCATCGTTCAAACAAGGCTTTGTATAACAAATATCATTTCTTGTTGCATTAAGATTTATGCATTCATTTATATTTACAGAACCACGATTTTGTGTAGTCGAATTCGTAGGACATGATAAACATGTATTTTGTCCGTATTTTGGTTGATAAAAACCAAAAGTGCAAGACATGCAAGGTTCTATAGATATAACAGATCCATGATGTCTACGTTTAGAAAAATAACCAGGTTGACAAACAGCTGAAAAAATAGATAATATTATAAATATTTAATATAATATTTATATTATTTCATATATATATTAATTATACTCTTACATATACAATCTTGTAATGATTTCGTACGTATTCTTCTAGTATAAGTATTTTTAGGGCATTTTTTGCATTGTATAGATCCAGTTACATCTTGATATTCTCCAAAAGGACATGGTCGACACTGTTTTGCAGAAGTATTGTGAAAAGTACCAAAAGGACATTTAACTGGAAAAAATAAATAAATATTGTATAATGTACAATAGATTAATAATTAGATTATATTAATTTCTAAATATTTTTAGGAATAAAAAATATGTCTTTCTCACTACAAGTATGTTTTCTAGATAGACTTCCAAGTTCACACAAATCTTGTATCTCTCCAAATATAACATGCAAATTAAGTGCAAGTTTAGCTATCTCTTGATTAGTTTTATTATTAAATAAATCAAGTTTTCCAGAACGTGTCATCAATTCAATTTTTTCTCTTAACTCTTGCAATCCTTTTTTTGGATTGTCGCGATTTTCTTTTATTATTTTTCCTATAATCGTTGATTATAATATTTCATAAGATGATCAATTTTTTTATTGACAATGTTTATACATACCAATGAATTTGAATTTAATTTCAATCTTATCTCTCTTCCTCTTTAGTTTATCCTCATCTTTTTTATGGTCTCGTCGAACCCTTACCAAATTCGAGTACAAATTTTTCTTTGTAAAATTGTCGTCTTCGCATTCAGGATCAAAACTTACGAGATTGCATTCAACATCGTTATTGCAAATATCAATTAGCTTTGATCTTAAGTCCTCGGTAATGCGATCGGTTAACTACACACGTCAATAAAATAATAATCAATAAGTTTAACTAGAAATTTGTTAAACGCTAAATACTTAGATGTGCTCACTTCCCGTAGATTTGTTGAGTTATTACAAAACGATTTAGTATCGCCCTCGAGAGCTATATTTCCTTCTACATATACAGTTTCTAGTTGTCCAGATTCTGTGAAATAAAAATTAAGTAAGCATAACATATAAATTAAATAGTATATCTAAATAAAATAACATGTACCAACCCAAGCAATCAGACATAACATAATCATTCGAAGTTCCATTTTCTTTGTTACATTTGAATTGCATATCCTCGTTTGCAGTACCAAGATACGTTGTTTCTTGTACCAGTTCGTACCCTTCACTGCAGACAGTCGTGCACTGTGGCGTTTGATTTGCATTGTACAAACAATTTATGCGCTTGTTTGAAGGTACGGTAATATTCTTGCATATATCTGAAACCATGTTTAAATGTAAGCAATTTAATAATAGAATTTAATATTAAAATAAAATATTTAACTATCTTTTACCTTTAACAGTGATATTTAATACACAATTCGCAGTATTTCCGTACATATCGGTAGCATTGTATACAATTTGTGTTTTACCAATTGGAAACACGTTGTCCTCAGATCTATGACTTTGTTCAATTCGTATCATTAATTTGGAATTGTCGTAAAATCCTGGCTCGTTCCAGCTGACATTAATTGCTCCAGTTTCACGATCAGTAAATATTACTGGAGGGTCTACACAATTTTCGACCATCGGTGGTTCCTTGTCTTTAAGAATTAAAAATATTTTATCATACAAATAAATTCATTTTTATTATAAGACATGGATTCTTCAACTTACCGATCACTTTGACTTGGAATTTACATCTTGCTTTATTCCTACTCGCATCTTGAGCTACGTAAGCGATATTACGAGTACCAATTTTCATTTTTCGTGGAAGAACAATATGTGGTTTGCTCCAAACAGCAACAGAATCATTGTCGTTATCGATAGCTTCTGGTACTGTCCAGTTAACATAGGCATAATTTTTACTGGGCAAATTTTCGATGGTTATAGAAGGAGGACAGGTGATAACTGGTGGAGTGTTATCTAAAAACATAAATAAAATAATTCAATAAAAAGCAACAATTAATTGATTAATAATACCGACCTACGCATCGATTGACGGTACGGCGTTGTGACCAAACACCTGCACGACCACCACATGACCTAATTTGTGGTCCTTCTAACTTGTATCCTTTTTTGCACGAGATAGTACAATTCATAGAGAAGGATAATTTTTCAGGACCAGTGCAATTCTTAGGCAAGATCATACCATTTGCTAATTGTTTTAAGGGTTCACATTTAATCGGTTTACAAGTTGTTTCCAAACCATCCCAACGTGAAAGGGGCAAACAATTTCTAACTTTACTTCCTCTCAATTGGTATCCAAAATCACATCTAAATTGGCATCGTGTATCAATGGGATAAGAAGTTAAATCTTCTTTCAATCGATCTTGATAAACGTCGTCATGTTGACAACGAACACGTCCATATTGAGGTGCTCTTAGTGCTGGACAAGTCTTTACTGTTAAATACTTTCTTATTAGCATTAATTAGACATCCTTTTATTCAACGAGATAAAAGATTAATTCATCAACATGATAATTATTAAACTTACGTGAACATTGTGCCTCGTTGCCAGACCAAATCCCATTCTTTCCACAAAGTCGAATGCTATCACCAGTCAATTGAAATCCTATTTTACATCTTATACCACAAGCAGCATTCACCACGTTGCTACAGGCATTTGCTTTCACCAAATATCCATTCTCTGGTACTTTTAATTTCGGGCACGTTATAACTAAAAGAAAAAAGTATATATGATGTGAATAAAAAAGTACAATAATTTTCATTTGTTTTCGAGATAACAATTAATTCAATCATGTCTGCTTAATATACACTAATTAAATCTCAACCATGGATCCGCGAGATAATAAGCCCCGCGATTTCGTTGCTGCAGTTCGAAATTTAAAGGAAGAAATTAAGAAAACAAGAGCGATGCAAATGATGTGGTTTCAAACGTATGGCCCTTTGCTGGATGAATACGAGTACGAAAATGATTCTGATTAAGATCAATGTATATGTAATTGTTATTTTTATCAGTAACTATTTGATAGAAACGTGAACAAGGAGATGACAGAGTTGTACGAGAAAAAACACGTTGCAGTTACCGATGATTCATCTATCAAAGATGAAAGATCTTGCTTACCTACACCAGAAACGAGCAATCGCGAAGTACGATCACTTAAAATCAATTTAAATACTTAATTTATATTATTTTCATATCAATTATATTTTTGTTAGTATGGTTGGCTCGCAATGAAGCCAGAATTTCGATTAGAAAAATACGGATCGTATACAATCGATAGAAACTATCCTATGCAAACTAAAATTCTACTACAGGGAAATATACCAATGCTTGCACCTGGGAAAAGCTTGATTCAATAAATATTGAATTTTATCTATTCTTAGAAAATTTCTTTTGCAAGATAAATATATGCTGAATAGTTTTACAATTACCTTCACATTTTCTCCCATCGGTAGTGAATCCAAAACCACAAATACAATCCTCCACTGTAGTAGCAGGAACCTTCACAGTTACATGATTAACATCTGGACAAGGTAGACAAATAGATGTTGAATCTCCAGAAATATAGCCGGAAGCGTAAGTTCCATTTGGACATGCTATATAAAATTCATAATTATAAGAAATATAATTGTTAACAATATTAATAAAAATGACAAGAATATACTCACGTTGGCAAGAACCTTTAAAACCAGAGCCAAAGAATCCAACTGGACAAATACAAGCGTAATGACCAGTTGTTACACCACACGAACAAGTTGCTATATCATCGCAACAATTACTTTCTCTAACTTTGTACATTTCATTGTTCATACATAAAATATCGCAATCGCTGCTGACTGCCATAGGCACATACTTTCCCGTTTTCAAGTCTACGAAAACAATCATTATATTGCAATTAATCATATTCCTGATAAAAAAAAAAAAAGTAATATACTTTGATTCTTACCATGATGCAAAGCACGACGTGCCAATGCTTCGAATTCGGCAAAACTATCCAAAAAGTAACTGTGAGCGTATTCAGGATTGCTAGCGATATCATGAAGTTCCTTAATATTACCAGTACGTATTCCAAATGTAAATATCATGACACCAGCATTCTTCAAAAGATCAGCAATAGGACGTGGATCTCCACCGTTGCTGAAGCCATCGGTTATGAGAAATATTACTTTCTTCGCCATTTTTCGACCTTTTTCAAAAATATCCTAATTAAAAATAATCTTATTAGAATATTTTTTTCTCTTTGGAAATAATTAATTTCTCACAATAAATATCATTAATGTTTCAAATTACTAACAAGAGCTTCGAAAAGCGCACCACGCGTATATGTTCCACCACCGGTATAACTGATATTATTAAGTTGTCTATTAAGTAAGAAACATTTGTGATTGTCCTTTCCAGTTGTCGATATTTGATCAACGTTACGATTAATATTTCTTCTTCCTCCGAAAGTGACAATTGCAACTCTTGTCGTCAAAGGTTCTACCGTAAATTCAGATAAAAGTTTCTTCACAAAATTAAGCTCGCTATGGAAGTTGTGTAGACCAATCGAACCAGATGCATCCACGAGGAATATGAGTTCTACCTGGCAAAAGTGAAATGGTCATTTGTATCTTTAGAAACAAGACTAATTTGAATCATTTGTTTTTACCTCATTGGTTTTGTTTCTCAAATTATCTATATGGATCTTTAAAAGATGTGGCAACAAGTCCGCTTTTCGTCGAATCATTTTGCTATCATTTTCTAATGTTAAATCAATTTCATCGGTGGTACGAATCTTGAAAGTATTGTTTGATCGTAATTTGCTTACTTTGGAATACTTTGCAAAGATAAAAGAAGTTCCATTGATTAATAGAAATATTTTCCAATATGACACTAACATTTTTTACAATACGTGTACACTTTAATTATAATTTTATTTTTTTATTTTTATATTAAAAACAGTTATCATAAAAAATATATTCTACAATAGGATTAGAAGAATATATAAATAGAATGATGAAGTAGAGTCACAAAAATCATGATTCATGGTAACAAAAAAAAATAGAATACGAACTGTTTAACGTAAAAGTCTGACTGATACTCTACTTACGCAAATACTTCGACGAACTAACGTAGAATAATCGGAGAGTTTAGAAATACGCGAGAACAAGGGAGCCTCTGTTCCACACTTAAATATAAAAAATGCCTCTATCTTCGTTTGATGTCTCGGCATCTCGTCGCTTTTGATTAAATGAAAAATATTTCTAATATATCGAGTATATTCATTAACGAAATGAATAAAAACAATTTAGTATATCACATAAATAAATAAAAAAATAAATAAATGTACACATATACAAAAATTTTTTTAAAACTCGTGTTATTAAAGTTCATTTCTTTTTTGATATGATCCTAAACTAAATTTATACATTGTAAAAAGTAATTATTTTAAAAGGTAATATACATATTACGTAAATGTGTAATATAATTTAAATTAAGCAGTTATATGAATAGGGGTATAGATAAGGCTACCAATATTATGGAGATCGCATCCCAAAATGTGACTGAAATAGAAAAAAGTGTTTTTTAATTTTGTTCGTTATTTTATTCGTTATTTTATTCTATTACTTTACTTAAAAAATAAAAGTATTTATGAAGACAGAGATTTCTTTCAAAAATAAATATAAATATAAGTTTGTATAAGTCCGGTAATGTATATTAAACTATTAAAGATTATAAGGATTACTATATTATTAGGAAATTATTAGGATTATTAATTCAAAGTAGAGAGAAGTAAAATAGAAGAACCTATTAAAATAACGTTCATAATAAATATACAAAAAATTTATTCTATCTCACTTTCATCCGAATCTACACTAGTACTGCTAGAGGAACTACTGCTAAAACTATCACTTTCTGAATCTGTGTCTGTATCACTACTATCGATGGAAGTTGAAGTGTCGTTGTCGGATGATGATCTGCAAAAATATTCACACATTATATATTTGATATTATGTTAACGTATCACAAACTCTATCTTTTTTGTTATTTTGTATTTAATAATATTTAATAATAGCATTTACTTACTCTTCTTTGTTCTTTGATGAAACATTTAGGGTTAAATTCTGTGCATGCTCCGTTATATCGTGTATTATATTTTCTATAACGACGTTTTCTTTTATAGTACAATCTATCGCTGTTTCTAATTCTACTAAATCCAAATTCATATTTTCTTTACTTGGATGTACCTTTAATTAAACAAACAAAGTAAAATTTATTAATCAAAATATAATATTTCTACTAAAAGTTTTATTAGTAAACTTACATCGTTTAAAAGAGGAATCAGCGAATCTATTAAAGATTCAGGAATTTTTTGCAACCAAATGAGGTAATCCTTGATATACAACTGATTCAACAAATATCGCGGCTCGTGAGAATTATTAAATAGAGTATATATCTCACAAAATTGCTTTATAATAAATTTCTTTCCTGTTGATAATCAAAATATTATTATTAAATATAAATCAAGTATTATTTAAGTATATATTAGAATTTATTATCAAACCTAATTTGACGACTTGCTTAACATCTTCGAACACTTCTAAGGATAACTTCCAGTTCCTTATTAAAGGATAACAAAGCGATCTTCTAATACATGCTTTTATAACTTCACCCATAGTGTTAAAAGTCTAATAACAATATTTTATAAAAACTTATGAATAAAGAAATATAATCGATGTAAAAATTGATAAGTAATATAAAAAACAGAAGTAAAAACATACTTGAAACCAACACAAAGTTGAGCTTAGCTTGTTAATCGTCCATCCGCTTTCGACTGTATTTTCACCATATGTTGTTCTATGATTATAACAACTACCGTATAAAATATCGATTAAACTTAAAAGTACTATATGAATTTCTTCATTATCTAATAAATATTCCTTGTTGGGAAACTCCTTCAATATTTCAATTTCGCTTTTATCAAATTTAATATCTTCTTTTTTTAAATTATTCCATTGTGGTGTATAAAAAATACATGATTCTGCATATTCGGTCTCCACAAAATCAGCCATATAATGATCTTCTTGGAAGTTTTTTGATTCCATTGCTTCCCGGAGATATTTACGTGTTCCTTCAGGAATGTTATCAGGTGCGGGCAAATCTATGACTTCTTTAATCCACGAAGGCTATAAATAAATTATTGATAAATGTTAAATATATTCATTTGTATGTATGTAAAATAGTATTTTATAAAAATCATATTAACGTACCTCGAAAGATGTTAACGCGCCAGAAATTTTATTTGCAAATCCATACTTAGGAGCATTTATCAATAAGTGTGAACTATAATTTGGCTGTATTGACTGAGGAATAGACCATTTATTAGATGCTTCTTTATCATCCTCTTCTTTATCATCCTCTTCTTTATCATCCTCTTCATTGTCATTCTTTTCTTCATTACCTTCTTCCAAATTTCTATTTATTTTCTCTAAATAAGCAGGATTACCTATTGAATTAAAGAAAGGTTTTCATTTAAAAACATCACGCTTAATATTTATCCACAAAATAAAGATATTATTATTGGTTTAATAACATACCAATCACTTCAATTTTTGGACTAACTGAATGTTTATGTTTCGGTTGTGACAATAGTGTAGTTATCATATCTAAATTAGGAAAAAATTCACCTTTGTTTACTTTAGAAAATTTTAAAGTGAAACAACCCTTATCACAATTATAGCTTCCAGAGGATGTAGAAGTCTCTTCTATTTCTCCAGGTAATTTTAGTCTGTAAATAAAATAAAACATATGTAAGAAAGAAAGATAGAATATTATCTATTAGTTTAAATAAACAATAAAACTTCATGAATTTCTTATATTTTACCTAAGATAGTATGGAATAGCATAAAATCTAAAATCATCTCCATCAACTTCTATCTGTGTATCCTTAATATCAGCATAAGGTGAATGAATAATAATTGTAATTTCATCATCGGTTTGCGTTATACTAAATGCAGGCGTTAACATTATTATACTATTTTTTTTTACAGAATTTTGGTTTATTTATTTATTTATTGATATAGAAATTTAATTGCAGAAACAAATTATAATAAAACACACACACACACGAATAAAGAATATAAAAATGAATTTAATTGCACAGTACAAGATACGCAGTAACGATATAACGTGAAAAATACTCTTTAAATAAAATGAGTTTCCTTTTTAATTTTTCCGGAAATGAATATTGAATTTGTAACCAATAAGAACGTTAACTTTAAATACCAATAATAACATTCGATTATTTTAAACATCCAATCATCGAGGTTAACCAATCACGTGTGATTATTTTGAAGTCTTATAATTTCATTGGTAGTCCTCTACGCGCTTGTGTAAATGAAAATCGATTGTAAAGATGACAAACTTATGGCGATGGTCACATTTACAAGGGTATGATTTCGATTCAAAATCGTTCAGAAGGGTCATGGCTATATGAGGGAAGAAGAATAAGTTCTCGAAAGGAAACGAAGTAGATACGAATTGATAGACTGTGTAATACTTGTAAAGAGGATCATATAAAATAAAAAATGGCCCAATTACCAGCAAAATTAATGTCATTATCGAAAAGTGTGTAAAATTTTTGGACAATTTTATTACTAACAAATAAATTAGTCTTCCGTTTACATAGTCGCTGTATTATAATTCGACCATTAATTATTATGTAACTGTCATTTATTGTCAAATTTCACGAGTATTAATTTGTTATGTATATATAAATATTCTTTTAATTTCTAGCATTTTATAATTTTACACGATTTCATTTGATTATAATAAGTGTCTTAGATGTAAATACAAATGATAAAAGGTTATGTTATAAATTACATATTGAAAGACACATCTCAAAAGTTACAATAGTTTTGAATTAAAATAAAAAACTAAATAAAAGGTAAAATATTTTATATTAATTATTTTTTATAGATTTGTTAAAACAGGCTAAGCCAAAACTACAAGTTTTTCAAGCTTATGCTAAAGTGGAATTAGTGCCACCGAAACTATCTGAATTACCCGCAGTGAGAAAGGGCATTACGGATCTTATTACCGCTGCTAAAACTGGTCGTTATAAAGAATTAACCATACGTGAAGCTTGGCTCAATACTTTAGTCGCTATAGAAATATATTGTTGGTTTTATATAGGTGAATGTATTGGAAAACGACATATTGTTGGATATAAAGTGTAAGCCACAATTATTATTACCTACGGTTAGATAATTATGTATAGATGATTAACTTCTTAAATATATAATAATGGAAAAAATGCTTTAATTAATGCATTTCATTTATTAAATTTGATATAATGTATAAGTTTATATATCATATTGTTATTCTGATTTTTATATATAATATTTATTTTTTTCTTTTATTATTATCATGATCTTTATTATTATACTATAATTTTCGCAAAATTTACACTATTCCAATAATACATAATCTTTTATAAAAACAAATCGATTCTTATTATCAAGAGTTTGAAGTAAATATATGTTGTTGTGCATAATGCCATATACACATTGCTCCACTAACATGAACATTTAATGAACGTATCATGCCAACTTGAGGTATTTCCACGCAAACATCAAGAAGGGATATTATATTAGCTGGTATACCACTCTTTTCATTTCTGCAGAAATTTTTTATCCATTAAGTAAAATTCTTACGGATAAATTAATTCGTACTTACCCTAAAACAAGTATTGTCTTCTTTTTAAATTGCATATTCAAAAGATTAGTGCTGTTAGCAGTTTGTTCAAGTCCTACCAAATCCCAACCCTTATTGTATTTTCCTAAGAGATATTCACGTAATTGATGAGGCTTTACCTGTTGTTTTAAAAATGAAAATTAATTATATATATTTTCTAGAAAAATATATATGCTATTTTTAATATGTTAAATGTTAAGTTTCTTTTATTGAATTTCCCACTCAAGCCATGATGATATGTCAGCTTTAAAAAAGCAAAGAAACTGGCATGGTGTTTAACATATTAAATGAAATTTAAATACCTCTTTAATATTTATCCATTTATCGGCAGATACACTGAGATTTTTAAATTTGTTATCTTCCAAATGCTGTATATTTCCAATAATGAATTCTTTAACACCAAATACTTCACACGTTCTTACAAGACCTCCTAGATTTGTAGGACGATCAATCAGAGATGCAACAATTATGATGCCTTCATTTTTTAAATGAGACAAAGGATGTTGCAATAATGTCAATGAATTATCATTTTCATAAGAACTAACTAACTTAAAAGGGATTATTTTCTTTTGTAAATCACATACGCCATCAGAATCTGTTTCAACTACTAATGTTTCCTTGTTACCTACAAAACATTTTTTTTTTTTGTAAATTTTTTATATACAACAATTATCGTACATGCATAAGACTTTAACTCACATGGATCGGCTTTAAGAAAGTGTGGAGGTACTTTAGATTCGGTTAATTTGTTATTTAAATTTCTTAAACGTAAAGGATGATTATTATATTCTGTAAAATTTAAATCTTCAAATAAATAAAGTGGAACCCACTCATCTATATAGATGGTGGACAATCTTGGTATCTCAAAATAGATAGTCTAAAAATTTTATGATTACTTGAATGCAACAATATTATTAATGAATAAAATATAATAAATTTAACAATATAATAGATTACCTGTAAACTATAATCATCTTCTGGATGAAAAGCAGAAAAATAAAAATCATCCTGTATTTGTAATGAATTTTTCATAGACTTTCCTTCTTGTAAATTTTTAACTGCTGCATTATATATTCCTGAATATTCTGATACGATGTTATCAAAATTAGAGCATTTTGATAGTTCGTATAATTTAACCAGAATCACCTAGTTTGACATAATAAAATAAAAAACTTGTAATTTTTTAATATCATAATCCCATAGTTCTATTACGTTCAACTTACCTGATTGTATAAACGCATATTATAATTTTGGCCTAAACAGCAATATGCAATGTATGGCATTGCTCGCGTAAGAAAATCACATTGAGCTTGTCCAGAAAAAAATAGAGAGACATGATATATTACACTTGCAATCGAACTTGTACATCCAGGACGTCTCGAGAGACTCTACGTATAAATTGTGAGAGAGTTAATGATGATAAATTTGATACTAATATTACTTTACAATACCTCTTCAAAGAATTCCCATAATTTATTATGTAAATCAGTATATTTTATAAATATCCTAATTAATAACCATTCTTGCATCAGACGTACACTATGCTGATTACTTTCTAATAAAATTAAATTACATATTAGTTCTTGAACCAATAGAATACTTTCCTATAAAAAAAATATAATTACTTGCATTAAAATTCTTTAATTTGATATAAAAAAAATGATAGAATTTATATGAAAATAAACTCTAACTTTTATTACCATGTTTAGTAGCGGCTCTAATAACAATAATATTTGCATCAGTCTATGTTTTATTCTATGCAAATAAGAATCTTTGAAGTATCTTTTATTCGTATATTTTTTCAATTCTTCAGAAACCAATTGCCAAAATATCAATGCATATTTAGGTTTTTCGGTAATTATTTTGTGAAATAATATTACTGCGTGTGCCTTCACGGTTGCATCAATATTATAGTCGCTATTAAAACAAAAAAATAAAAAATGTAATTTAATAATAGTCTCCAATATACTTTTTTTTTATATAAATATTAATACATAATACCTTACATGTTCAACGAATGAAGTTTATACAAGTCTTGAAAATCTTTTTTTATAGACAAATATATTTGATTTTCAATCTTTTTATCTCGTCTAATAGCATAACCATGGAGAAGACATGCGAATAATAATTTATCAACATTTATTTTATTAAAGATTGTATCGTTAATATCTAATGATTCCATTTGATTTAACAATATTCTTTTTAAATTGGGCATATGATCGCTTTCTTGAATCAATTGATTTAGTAACTAAAATATAATTTAAATATATGAGGATACAACAAATGAAAAACAAAGTTTTTGATATATTATTTCTTACTGGATTTATAATAATGGCAATGTCTGGTAAATCCAAAAATTTAGAATTAATTATAACTGTGAGAAGACTTTTAATAGCCATGGAAAAAGTGCTATCTTTTTTATGTTCAAATGTAATTTTCCAACATAATTGAATGGTCGATGTAAAATTTGTAATATCTTCTGAACGTGGTAGTCCATCCTTTTCGACGATTGTTTTCAATAACACTGCTATTGAAGGAATTATATTAATACCTTCCAGTTCAAGAAAACTCGATATTATCTCATACCAATCTATTTTCCATATATCAGTTGAAAATTGCTGAAGATAGTTGTGCATTAATTTAGTCATAAGAAACAAGTAATGTGACATAATCTTTCCTTTTTCATTTTCTGTATTACTAGGTCCCTTATTACATATTTGAAATTTGTTAATCTGTTTTATGCAGAACTCATACATATCTTTTGTACATGATAAAATATCTAAACTTTGGCAGAGAAGTAAAACGTGTAATATGGATAAATATTCGGTACCTTTTACAAAAAATATATTTTCAGATACTAGCGTTTTTAAATTAGATGTGTGCATGCTTATTGTTTCTTTGGAGAATATTAAATCTCTGTTATTCCAAAACGTTGTAATCATATTTAAAAATTCATCCAATTCTTCATAAAGTAGGATAGTAGATATCTTTTTCACATATTTAATTATAATTCTCATGGCAGTGTCGCCGTAGCCAAACAACATTTGTGTGATAATATTACGGTTTTCCTTAAGCAAATACGACATTAATTTGAGTACTTTAATATTTAATTGAACATTAGAATACGGCCTGTTGTCAGATTTAATCAACAAATCGAATGAATATTTTAATTGGTGTAACGCAACACATGATGGTGTATAAAGTATTAATTTAGCATCATACAGAAGACAAATCATGAGCACAAGCGTTTTAATATTAATCTTAAATGATTTATCATCCAGGAGATATTGTTTTAAATTATAACAAATAAAATTTGAAGCAATAGTGTTTGTAGTTGCTTCGAGTAACCATTTAACAATTATTTTCCAAGTATCTGAATCTTTTCTAAAAGTTTCGTCAATGGTAAAAGTATACAAAATATTTGAAAGTAATATTAAATCATTTAGCGTCATATTAGAAAAAGATATTATCTTAATAATATTAATTTGAGATGCAACTCGTAAAATGAGTGAATGTTTATTCAAATTTAACGATGCTAATGATTGAATAGCATTAAAATCATTTTCTTCCAATCTAATGCGAGATCGATTTCTTTCAAAAACATTAGAAAGAACATACGTAACATAAAATATCGCTACAGGACCCCAATTAATTAAACTAATGTGATACAAAAATTTCTTTAAAACAGAATCACCACAAGATTCAGTTAAGCGGCTAAGCAATTCTATAAGTTCTTCTACTAATTTTGATTCATTCTTATTGGATTCTATTTCATACAAAAAAGTGTTATTTAAAACATTTACAAAAAATTCAAGAAACTGATCATCATACATTACTACATCAACTTTGCAAATATCTAATATTCCTTGTTTGACTATACTTTTATTATCATTCTGTAATATTCTTTTAAAAATACAACTCAACCATGTAATATCAAAGCAATTTTTGCACACTTTGTTGCTTATTATCAAACTAGGTAAATGAGTTAAGGCAGGTAATATCAAATGAATTTGCACTTCTTGCAATGCTTCTAAGATCAACAAGAATTGCTCCCTATTTCTTTCTTTTGTCTTTTCAGAACAGGTATTGCATATGAAAGGAACCAGCATACTTTTTTTTACATCCAAATTTTCAAACTTAATGTTGCTCATAAAATGAATCCCTTTCTTTAATAGAGACAATGCCCATTTCCGATATTGTATTACATGGGAATCTAATCCTTCTGCGATCACTATCCAAAATCTATCTTTGCAGTACAGATCAATATATAGATCACGAAGAGAATTTTTTTCTAATTGAAAATAATAATCTGCGAGTGTATTGAGCGAGGTAAGCAAATCTCGAAGATCTTTCAATTCGCTTGAGAAAAGGTCCCAAACTGGAAATATTATATTATTATTATCAAACGTATTATTTAGTTTAGGTAAGATTGATGCTATCAATTTCCATTGTATATTGTCTTTTGTAGTTAAAAAATATTTTATATCATCTATGTATAATGGAACAAATTCTTCGCACTCTTTACATTTGTTTTTATTAAAAATATAACAATGTAGATTCAATGATTCTAAAAAACATTCCAATACTTTTATATACAATTCTCTTGTTGTGTTGCTGTTATTAAGATACAAATCTCTCAAATGTTTGAATTGTTCCAATTTGATTTTAATAGATTTAACATCGCAATATAAAACCATTTGCAATAACAAAATATCATAAAGAATCAATACCTCCGACATAGTGTGCCATTGATTTTTATGAAAAAAAATATTCTCAATATTGTTGATAGAAATATCATCTAAATGTCTATACTTATACGTATCACTGGAATTAAATTTAATTTGATACTCATAACACAATATCTCATGAAAAGTTTGCAATTTCTTAGTATCCAAAGGAAATTTGATTAATTCATTGTTATACAATTTGACTAAATTATGTAAACATGCAAATGGATCATCTTTAAACGAAGTATCAATGACTTCTAATATAGATAAATTATGGGTAGAAAATTGCATATACTTTTTATGTAAATCCATATTGAGTTAATATCATGAGCATAGTAACGATATTAATTAATAATTACTATTATTACTAATACAAAAAGCGATGTAATGAAAATAACGAAAAAACACTTATCAGACTTGTGTAGGAATAAATAAGAAGTAAAACAAATTTTGAATTTCTTCTTCTATTTTGTCGTTGTTGTTATACACTAAAAACTAAATGCAACGTAAAGGCGCGTTCGCGTAGACCTTTTGTTTATTAATTGCTTTTTTTTTTTTTTCCAATTTTTTTTATCGTCACAAATGAAAAATGACGCTTTTGTAAAAATGGAATTTATTATTTACTTAACCAATAAAAGTGCACGTGGATGTGTCACATGCACGGTTGGTGGATGTGATAGAGAACTTTGTAACACGTCGATTATTGGAAAGAGAAGGAAAAATATACGTTGGGTGTATTTGTTTAAATTGAGAAATTTGAAGAAAAAGAAAAAGCGACAGAAGAAATAAAAGAAAAGAAAAGAAAAGAAGAAGAAAAAAAATACCGTATCTCGATCGAAAGTTAAAAGTAAGGGCGCATGAATGATTTAGTTGATGAAATTTGCTTCCGATCACAGTTACAATACGGTCGACCGAATGTGCGTGCGAATGATCTTAAGCGCGTACAATCGAAGAAAGTAAAGTAGAATAAGCGGCGGGTCCTTCTATAAGCCCGGTGCAACGGTTAGAAACCTATGAATGAAGAGAAGTGGTGGATTATTCAAAATCATTAGCTGGAGCAAACAAGTGGCCATATCCCGGCGCATAAGTTTGACAGCAATGGCTAAAAGTAAATTTGAATATGTAAAAGAATTCGAACGGGACGATAATTGCTTGCCAAATTGTTGGATTGTGGTTAGAATAGACGGTAGGAATTTTTCCAAATTCACTGACGCTCATCAATTTGCCAAGCCGAACGATGTTGCCGCATTGGAACTGATGAATCGCGCTGCTATTACTGTTATGGAAGATTTTAAAGAAATAATATTAGGTTTCGGACAAAGCGACGAGTATTCCTTTGTATTTCGTAAAGACACCCAACTATATAAACGCAGAGGTTTGTATTTAGTGTTTACGCGACTAACCCCTTTTGTGTGAAGGTATAAAAAAAGAAAGTATATTTTTTATTTTATTTTATTTTATTTTTGTTTTGTTCTGTTTCTTTTTTTGTAAGTATAAGTAAACAATATTTTGTTGTTTTTTTTACTATTATAGCTATTCATGTAATAACACCAATGTTTGATTTTTCAGTGTCCAAGCTCATGTCCAATGTGAATTCTTTATTTGCTTCGTCTTATGTGTATCATTGGCCTCGATTTTTCAGAGGTAGAGATCTTTATTATCCGCCATCCTTTGATGCACGCGTTGTCTTATATCCAACAGATAAAAATTTAAGAGATTATTTGGCTTGGCGTCAGGCAGATGTTCATGTTAATAATTTATACAATACATGCTTTTGGAATCTTGTCCTAAAAGGAAAGCTAACTCCGAGTCAGGTATAATTCTCTTTTTATTCTTACATTAATTGGATGATATCATTTATTCAGCGTCTTGTAATATTTAGTATTGTATCTCTTTTTGTAGGCGGAAGAAAAACTTAGAGGTACTCTAGCTTCGCACAAAAACGAATTGCTTTTCCAAGAATTTGGAATAAATTATAATAACGAGCCTGCCATGTTTCGGAAAGGCACTATACTTTTACGCAAGCTTGTACCGGATGGTACAGGACGATTAAAGCCTGTTGTCGTTCCATTAATTGATGATATTATTGGTGATAGGTTTTGGAAAGAGAATCCGGAAGTAATAGGTTTAAAAAGTTTAGCAACTTATCAACCACCTATCATTAATAATGCTATGAAAAATACTATTTGTACATCAGTGCCTCTATCTCCTGGTACTCTTAAACATATTAATAATGTTACAGTACCTCCCGTTGTATGTAATACAAATTCAAAGAATGATGAAACAAATGTTATAAGAAGTAGAGAGATGGATGGTGATCGAATGCAATGTGAAAGTGACCAAATTATTAGAAAATAAGTTGTGTTACAATATTTTTTAAGACAAAACTAAATATATTATTTAAATCATGTGCTTATCCGTTCTTCGATCATGCAAAAGTGAATTTTGTTATAAAAATCAACAACGTATTGCATGCATTGATAATGGGTATGGATGATCAACATACATATCTTTTGCCTCTTTACATTAACATTGTTACGACGTATTGTGGATAAGTAGAAGAAATACGAATGGAACTTTTTGCAAACACTTCAGCGGATGAAGTTAGATGAAACAAACAAACAAGATAAACTTTTTACAATTGCACATTTTTAAATTTATTTCTCTATAATGTGTTTACCGATTTCAATGTGTACAGGTATATAACACAAGACATAAACATTTGTATTATATCATGTAGAATGTAGGGTACCTTTATTTTTTATTAATATTATTATTATATTATTATTATTATTATGATTATTATTATTATTATTATTATTATTATTATTATTACTACTACTATTACTACTAC